AGGCTTGTTTATGTGTCTTCTTATTTCCACGGTGTGTGTGGGGGTGTGCTTCTGGTGCCCACGCGGCTCTCCTTCTCTGCCCTAGGAGCTTGGGATGGCAGTGGGGGAGCTTCCTTCTGGGTGCTGGGACCGGCTGAGCTTCTCTGCCCTAGGAGCCTGGGATGGAGGTGAGGAGCTTCCTTCCGGGTGCTTGGACTGCCTCACCTTCTTGGCCCTAGGAGCATGGGATGGCAGCGGGGGAGCTTCCTTCCAGGTGCTGGGACCAGCTGAGCTTCACTGCCCTAGGAGCCTGGGATGGAGGCGGGGAGCTTCCTTCTGGGTGCTGGGACCAGCTGAGCTTCACTGCCCTAGGAGCCTGGGATGGAGGAGGGGGAGCTTCCTTCTGGGTGCTGGGACTGGCTGAGCTTCTCTGCCCTAGGAGCCTGGGATGGAGGTGGGGGAGCTTCCTTCTGGGTGCTGGGATCAGCTCACCGTCTTGGCCCTAGGAGCCTGGGATGGAGGCGGGGAGCTTCCTTTGGGGTGCTGGGACGGGCTCACCTTCTTGGCCTTGACCTCCTTGATCTATAATAATGAGTTAACCTTGGAATCTTTTTTTGTGGTATTGATACAATGACACACTTTTTTCTAGTTAATATTCTAACTAGAATATTCTAGTTAGTGTTACTAGTCAGCCAGTGTTTATGTCTTTTTGTTTGAAATGTGTTTCATAAGGGAACTGGATAGACTGAATTTTTATGTAATTTTATTTACAAATCACTGTATAGTGTGGTGATTAAAAACAAAACTTTAGAGCCAGATTGGTTGGGTTTGGTTTGTTGTCTGGGGTGTTCTATCTGGTAACTAGAGTTTAAAACTAGGGGTTGGAGGCATTTTGACTTTTCTTTATTTAGACTTTTTTTTGGGGGGTACCGGGGATCGAATTTGGGTCCTTGCGCTTGCACAGTAGGTGGCAAAACCACTGAGCTAAATCCCCGGCCCTTTATTTAGACTTTTAACTTTTCTCATGTTTTATACCCCAATCCTCACTTCTGTTCTTTCATATGTGCGGTATCTGAATGGCTCTGATTTTTTATAGATTCTGTCCCTTTCAGAGTAGCCTGTCACATTCACTCTATTGTATGCTTCCTTAATCAATTTGTACTATAATATCTACATTTTATTTCTTGAAAATACATTGAAGGATCTCTAAAGTGGGCCTAATAATAAAACTGCTGACCTTATAAGTTGGTTTCAAGTTTAGCATGAATTAGTAAAGAATGTGTAGTGCCTGTTCCTCAGTAAATGCTTACATAGAATTGTTCTGTTTGCTATTAATATATTGTAGTTTGTCTTTTAGTGTTTTTTGGCCACCTTGAAACTATCCATTGTCTTGTTTGTATTTGTCACTGTTAATGTTACTATCAGATTTATTATTTTTATTTAATAATTGAAGTTTTAAAAATTTTTTGCTTTTTTGCTATTAAGTGATTTAGTAGGGACAACTTTGAAACATTTCAATTCAGCCTGTGTAAATTAGTAATCAAATTTAATAGAATTTTAAAATCATTTTCCAGGAGTGTATTCATAATTAAACTATATAATAATTTAAGACATAAAATTTTATTTTTGAAAGGTACAGGTTGAGTTTCTAATCCAAAAATACAAAATCTGAAATGCCCTGAAATCAGAAACTTTTTTAGAGCTAACATGATTTCGTAAGTGGAACATTCCAAAACTGTCATCATGTGGGTCACAATCAAAACACAGGCCCACTGAAAATATTGTATAAAATTACCCCAGTCTGTGCATGAGGTGTATATGAAATCTAATGAATTTTTTATTTATACTTAGGTACCATCCCCAGGATCTCTCCTTATGTATATGTAAATATCATAAAATCTGAAAAAAAATCCAAAATTCTAAACTCTGCTGGTCCAAGCATTTTAGATAAGGGATACTCAGCCTGTACTTTTACCTAGTCCATATACTGGATTTTGAATTTCATACAGAGAGATTAATGTCTCTGTAAAGGGGAGTTTTCTGTCTAAATGAAACTCTCCCTGTATGTTAATTAAACTTATGTCTAAAAGTACATTATTGGTGGTAATGGTTACAAAACAATGTGAATGACTTAAATGCCTTTGAATTGTAAGCTTAAAAATGGTTAACGTGTTACGTTTTATGCTGTGTATCTTTATTACCACATTTTAACAAATGAATATTAGTCATTGTGTAAATGTCATACATTGAAGGTGAAAGAATATTCATTAATGTGAAAATCTAAATCATGAGCATATATAGAGTGAGCAGAACATATTAGTGTCAATATGTTGACTTATGTTTTCTTTTCTCAACCATGTATGTCTCTTACTCATTTTCTAGTGTGGAATTATTATTATTACTATTTTTTGAACAGGAAGGAAAAGCTGATGAGATGCTCTCAATGCCGAGTTGCCAAATACTGTAGTGCTAAGTGTCAGGTAAGACTGTCCAACTGTATATCTACGAAATCTTCAAATTCTTTGCTTGTAAATTTGTCCTCCATTGTATTTGTTGTTCTGCTTCTCTCTTTGAACAATCTTTGACTTATTTTTACTTGATGTATTTTTTTTTAGTTTTAAAATTAATATATGTACGGTTTGAGTATCCTGTATCCAAAATGTGTCCAAAACAGAAGTGTTTCAGGTTTTGTATTTTATCAAATTTTAAAATATTTGCATAGATTTTACTAGTTAAGTATCCCTAACCCAAACATAAGAAATGTTTTACAGTTTGGAACATTTTAGACTTCAAATTTTTGGACTACCATTGCTCAACCTGTATATAGTAAAAATTATGAATCTGTGTACATATGTCTGCCATGTGAAAGTTAATGTTTGCTTCTTTTCATCCTTTGTCCGCCTTACCTTAATCCCATTTTCCAGAGGTAACCACTGTTAATTTTCGTATATATCTTTGCAACATTTTGTTGTACAAACACATTTAAATATCTCTATCCTATGTTAAAATATCTCTATCCTATGTTTGTACTCTGGTACAAATTCTTGTATACTTCTCTCTTTAATAATCTATTTAGAGGAACATTTGCTTCATTCCATGTATTCCATTACATGGATTACACCATAATCATAATTTCCCCATTAATAAATGCTTATAATTTTTCCAGTATTTGTTATTGCTTATAATGCACACAATATCCATTTTGTACATTTTGGCATACTTTGTTAATTGTAGGCTAAATCTTCTTATTTGTATTGGTTAGTGAAAGCATATGTGCATTTTGAATTTTTAAATATAACACCAAATTGCCTTCCAGGAGTTTAAGTTAATTTACAGTGAATACTGCTATTAATATCTTTGAAATTCTTTAAAGGATGTATAATTAACATTCAACTTAACCTTTTCTTCAGACCTTATGATTAATCATTTAATAAGAAATATAATTATGCTCTAATGAATTATATCATATTAAAAAGTTTAATTGGATGTTTTGTGTTTGTGTCACTTGCCTCCCTTCCTCCACTCATCGTTCTTGTTTCCTGTTTTGGGGTGCGTGTGTGTTTGTTTGTGTGTGTGTGTGTGTGTGTGTGTATGTATGTGTGCCTGTTCATACCCTTGTAGAGTTTCTTCTTTTCTTCCTTTAAATCTAGGTCGGGGATATCTGAAGGATTTTGTTTTATCTGATTTTTTCCCTTTGAAATAAATTTCTTCAGAATACAAATAAAATGATCTTAATGGAAATAAGTAAAAAATATAAAAATATCAGGGGTTTCATGTTTTACTGCTATTTCTTCTAATTGCCAGTTAAAGTCTCTCAGAGAAAACAAACTTGGATCCTCAGTTTCTGAATTTGCTGATAATAAGTACCAGCATCTACTAGAAATCTATGTGGTAGGCTCTATTGATTCCATTTGATTTTACAAGAAACTTGTTAGAATTAGGTACTATTCCTATGCTGATTTTATCAGTTAGGAAATTGAGGTCAGAGAGGCAAGCACCTTGCTATACACCCTGTAATTGGTAGGCCTTGGAGTTTTGGAAATGAACCTAAGTAGTTCACCTCTGGATTTTTAATTTATAAACCTAAATTTTGTTCTTGTTCTAACATTCTGAATAGGTCTAGTTTTCCATTATCTATTTTATTATATTGGTTCCTGGCTTTTTACTTGATTGATTGATTGGTTGGTTGGATGCTGGGGATTGAAGCCAGGTCCTTGCACATGTAATGCAAAGTGGTTTACCACTGAGCTGTATAATAAAGATATACTCCATCACCAAAGTATGCAAAATAAAAATTTAAAAAATTTAACATTCTTAATAAAAAGACAGGAAATGTTAAAATAATTGAATTACTTTCCCCTCATTTTGTAAACCAACTATTCTTTTAAAGATCCTTGTTTTATGTAAGATCAACAATAACAATAACAATAAAAAATGAAACAAAGCCTTGCTTTTTACAGAATAAATTCCAAAAAATGCTATTTTATGGTGATATTTCATTTCTTTTATTCAGGTGAAACTGAACTACATGTTTCCCAGCACTCTGCATTTAAGCAGATTGCATATAGAACTGATGAATTGTTATATTATTTGATATACATCCTTTAGATGAACTTTCTTTGGCTGGACTGTGCCTCAGTGGTAAAACAATTGTCTGGTATGCTCACGGTCCTGGGTTCAGTTACCCAATAACCCCCCCCCCCCCCACCACGCAGCTGAACTTTCTAATTTTAATGACCTAACTGACGGAGCCAGCCGTCACTTGTCGAACAACACCTGAATGGGGGAGTGAGGATGAAGAAAAAGAAAGACAAAGAGATAGAGTCGGGAGGGCTCCCAGAGACCGAGCGCCCAAGTTTATTTTTCTCCTCTCTTTTATACAGCAGGTGAGTTTGGTTGTTAATCATGACCCTTATCCAGAGACACCTGCTTCCTTGTTTTCTAGTTCTTTGGGAATTCCCCACCCTCAGGGGCCTTCCCGTTTCTCGGGCTTACAAAACGTTCTTCTGAAGGCAAACATCTAATTTGACAAGGACGCGGTTCCTCGTACCATAGTCTCCTTGCTCTATACAATGGAGGGTAAGATTTAACGTGGAGCCTCTATGGCTAACACCGCTCTCCATACCTAACATTTACTTTTATTTCCCCTTTTTAACGAATATTTTTTCTTTAGAGGTTCTTTCTTCTTTTGTAGTGTATACAAGGTAAAAGGTCATTATTTAATTACAATGAGTGTCGGCAGTTTGTTGGGTATGTCATTTTGATTCATGATAGTGTATATATTTTTACTACATATATTAGCTGTTTATTGTTGCATCAATAATGTCATTGTCAGATATACTATGGAAGGCAATGACAAAATAACTAGTAAGATAAAATATATAGCACCAACTAGAGTATATGTTTGTATGTATGTGATTGTGGGGGGTGGGTTTATATGTATGTAGCAGTGGGGATCAAAGACTGGCCAGGACATATGCATTTAAACTGCTCTATTTAGCTCAACCTTAAGGTTCAGGATTAAACATTGTAATTCTTTTGGATACCTACAAAGCAGCACAAAATTAAACTGACAAACTGAACTATAAATAGTAATGAACAGCAGGCAAGCAAGTAGAATCGAAATTGATAAACAGAGTGTAAATTTGTAGCATAAAATCTATAATACGTATACCTCAGGGAGCTATGCCTTTGGTATTCTAACTTAGCCTTTGATATGTGGGGCTGCAGCATCAATGAGTTGTCAGAGAGGCTTTTGGAGTATTTCAGGGTCTAATATGACCCTTGTGCCATTAGTATTCACATTTCATTTTTAAACATAACCCATACAAGAATGTATTTTCATTATGAAATTAATACCACATAGAGTCACACAGAGTAAAAATAAAAATCTTTCTCTAGTCTCTTTTCCCTATTTCTGTTTTTCTAGAGGTAATCTGTTCACTTTTGTGTTTAGTACTGTTTCTGAGACTGACAAAATATTTTGTCACTATTTTCTATTTCTATCTATATCTTATTCTGAAATGTCTCATAAAATTTCCTAGAGGGGGAATCAGAGTTTTTTCATATTGGGGCAGATAGAATATCACATGTAATTGTGAGATTGAGGAGGAGGAGCAGGCTGTTTTCATATAAAAAGCATGCCAATCAGGAGGTTGAGGCAGGAGGATCACAGATTTCAGGCCAGTTTGGGCAACATAGCAAGTTGCTGTCTCAAAATAAAAATAATTTTAAAGGAAATTTGGGCAGTGTAGCTCAGTGGTAGAGTACTTGCCTAGCATGGGTAAGGACGTGGATTCCATCCCTAGTATCTCAAAAAAGGGGGGAAAAAAGGAAAGAAGGAGAGAACAAGTGAAGAAAGAAAAGCCTGCCCAAAGTAAAAAGTGGCAGGACCATTGATAGCAAGTAAACTAATTTCAAGCAAATTCACGAAGTCTTATTTCATCTCTTCATGATTTAATTTGACTATAATATGCATATTCAAAGGAATTAATTGCTCAGCAAAACATAAAACCAGATTATCAAATTGCTGTTTATATTCTTTTACAGAGAACTGTATTAACAGAGAGAATCTTTATGTTGATAGCTGTGTCAAATGTGTCAAATTTTTGGGTTTACATTTTGTGCTTTGTAGAATGATTTGATGTGTACCAGGTCATATGATAATTCATCAGTTTTATATGCATTTTGCTTATCTGAAGTAGAAAGTTAGCCTCACATTAGTAAGCATTAACAGGGTAATTTAATAAAGTTCTTTTTTGAAATATCATATTCAAAGTAAGATGAAGAAACCTAAGCCCTTTATTTCATGAATCCATTTGTGCTAGGATTCAGACTGATAGAATATACATGTAATTTCTCAATCCACTGTGACAATCTGTCTTTTAATCGGAACCTTTAGACCACTGACATTCAAGGTGATTATTGAAATAGTTGATTGAATATCTACCATATTTGTTATGTTTCTCATTTGTTATCCTTTCTCTTCGTTCTTATATTTGTCTTTCGTTATTTTTTCTACCTTTTATGGTTTTAATTGAAGATTTTATGATTCTATTTTTTTCCCTTTACTAACTTATCAATTATATTTCTTTTTACCTTTTTTTGGAGGGGGTTGCAATATACATTTAATCTTATACAGCTAATCTTACAGCTAATCTTAATCTATACAGCTAATCTTAACCTACTTTACTACTTTATTGCTAACAAAATAATCCTAATTCTTTCTTCTTCTCTCTCATTTCTTACTGCTGCAATTTATTTTACTTATACATGAGCATATATAATCAAATATATTTTTGTTATTGATTTGAAATTATCTATTGAATAAATTAAGAATAAGAACAATACAATTTTCACTTTATCTTCATGAACTCTTTCCTTCATGCTCTTCCTTTCTTTATGTACATCCACATTTCCAACCTTTATCACTTTCCCCTCTCTGTAGTGAAATTCTTTCAACATTTCTTGGAAGACAGGC